TTGGGTCTATTCTATACTACCAGACTGGGCCAAGTTACTAGTGAATCTACCAAAGATGCTATGAGCTATCCAGGATGGAAATTTGAGCTTTTTGTGGTATGTGTAGAAATTAGCATTTTAACATTCCCACCACACATGAATACAGGGAGACAGGCTGTTACCCACAACAAAATGTATCTTCCCTCTTGCCCCACAAAATAATATAAAGCACTTGACATTTGTTGGCAGGCAAAGTTAAAGACGCTTGTGCCTCATTTGAATGATATTTATGGATATAAATACTAATAGTATCAAAGGAAGAAGCACAATGATATTTTTTATTTACAAATCCAAGGATTACAATAAATATGCCTGCACTTCTAAGCATACTTATTACCAATACGAATAATATGAGTGGAGAGCTCGTCACAGTGCTAACCTTTAGAATAAGGGTACAACTTTTGCAAACGAGTTCAGGTTTGGATCCAAAGAACTGCACAATTCTTCCTGTGAGTCTAAGAAGGCCTGAGAGTGGTTTCCCCTCAATCTGAAGCCTCCCTTCCCCCATGCTGCATGGCAAATTACTTTGGAAACTGAGGGGCTCGGCTGTTCAAAGAAGGGGGGAAGCTGAAAGAAAATCCACTGTGCTAATGCATGCTTAAGCAGCTCAGTAGTTAAGTATGAAGCTTGTGGTGTACTAAGGAAGAAGGACAAAACAGTCTGCTGTACATAGGGGGAAAGGTTAAATAAAAATATCTGAATTTCTCTTACAACCTGCAGGGAAAGAAAGGATGGTGAAAGTTCCCACTGGCTAGAGACAATTTCATGCCAGTGTCTCTCTGTTCAGTTGTTGGCATTTCTATCTCCTCTGTGCTTATACACACAAGGACTGTGTGACTTCTTTGGCAGAAAACTGAAATAAGGAAAACTGCCCAGTCTCGAGATTAATAGACTGGGCTGCTTGTGGTTTCTACCTTGCTGTGATTCCTGTCCCCCTTCCCCTCAGATTATCAGATGGCATGTTTTATTTTCTTAACAGACTTATATCCCACCTTATTGTCTGGGAAAATACCAAGCAGAATTAGTAGACTATGTACGATTGTCTTTTCTCAGAAAGGACACACTATTCCAAATATACATGCTAATAAACCTTTCCTTTTCCCCACCTTGGCTACTAAACAAGCTGGTTCCCTGTCCTATTTATCTCCATCTTGAGAAAAGTAAGTCCAATGGCAGTAGTAGTCCAGTGGAGATATACATTTTGGGAAATCATGATACCAGTTTATACACCCATTACTGCCCTTGAGGGAGACCTGTTCCATGAAATTATGAAATATGGACTAAATCAGCAGAAATGTCTCCTACCACGGCATATGTCCCACAAGTATGACTGCTTCTCAAGCTGTGCATGAAAAAAGAGACCACAAGAGATGTGTATATTTAACAATATATATTTTATATATAATTTCTAGATCAGTACATTCAGTTTAACTTGTTTTTCTTCACAAACAGAAGAACTCTTACAATAGTAGACTTCTAAAATAAATACTATTAAAATAGAGCTTCAAAATAAATATTCTATACAAAGGAAAACTTCTGTGGTAATTTATTTTCAGCTGAAGGAAGATTAAAGAATTTGGGAACCTTGACCAGTTGTTGTGTAAAAAAAATGGAATAAAAATAAACCTAACATGCTCAGTGCTGCAGGACACAGAAAGATTTCACTCTGCTAAAGCAATAAGCATTTCAGACAAGAAAAAAAAGGCTCTAAGTGTTGTGTTATACCTTGTCCCCATTCCTCACTGCAGCACAGCTGAGTTTAAATACTACAGTGAGCCTCTTGGAGACAAGTGGAAGAATATTTCCTTGGTTTCTCTTGCTTATACGATGGGAGGTAAAAGGGTGAAGGACAAATTGAATACCCAGAGGGGAACCCTGTTTCCTAATCTCCCATTTTGTAATTTCACCAATTTGTTCTGTGCCTCAGCAGACCAGATTACTTTTTGATCCTTTCTAATGACTTCCCTTTGAAACGCAATCCAGCCTGGCCCACTGGGACAACAGGAGGAGAAAGCTCTTTCCCAATAGGTGTGCTTGAGCCTCAGCACCCAGCCCGACTGATTACCCTTTGGCTCAACATCTGGGAAGTGGCGCGCACCCGTCCCTGATCCGGCCCTTCAGTCCGAAAATCCGCTGTAAAAAAAAAACCCACCTACAGAGCAGAAATTAACGGAAACGCCGCATCAAGCGCGGCCGTCAGATCGCCCGTCTTCCAGAGCAATCGAGGCTCCCAGCCAAACTGCGCATGCGCAGCTGGCGGCCTCGCGCTCCCTTCCGTGGCTTTCTCCCCGGCATCTGATCGTGCTGGGGAGCAACTGCGCAGCGGCTCACGGGATCTGTGTGATCCCACCGCCGCGTGTCTCTTTTGGTGCGGCTTTCAAAAGCTGCATTTTGCCCGCATCAATTTCCCCCCATGTGGCAGGGGCCTGTGACCATGTTAGATTAATACTTTGCATCTCTAAGTGAGGCAATTTGGAACAGGGTTTATGTACCTTAAAAGTAGAGGACAGGCTGGAGGGTGGGGTGCAGCAGGAGAGGAAAGGGTAAAAGAAACAGTGTGTTAGTGAACAAAGGCCCTCTGAAAACCCAGCAGCCAAGACCATCTAAAGAAACAGTGTCATGTTGCCCAGGCTCTTCTTGGGCTGGTCTAACCCAGAATCCTTTCAATGCTTTGCAAGAAGCTTGACAACTTTGTTGCTAGGCCTCGGGCAAGGAGCCGGAGAAACATGCCACCTGATTGCTACACCAGAGGGAGGCCTGGAAACTACAAGGCATTTAGTTTTTTGCTACATTTGCAAACAGCTGTTTGAATGCTTGATGATCTTTCTAGCACATGATCAGGTTGGCACTGATAAGATCTACCACTTGCATCAGGTTGGCACTGATAGGAGATATATTTATATGTATATATTTATATGTATTTAACTTTTAAAAATCCATACAGAAATTTAAGTGTTGGCAGCTATGTACAATAAAAAGAAAGAGGCCCAGTTTCATCAGAAGGTGTTGTATATGAAATATAGGAATGTTCCACGTGCTTATTGGCACATGCCAATCCACCAGTTTGTTGATCTGCTGGAGACAACCAGCCCTTAAAATCTGCAATTGCTTCATAAATGCTGTTCCATGCTCACAGGAACATATGACACAGTAAAGCTGATAGGTAAGCACCTGGTTGCCATTTGTGCTTACATCAACAAGAAATGAATTTCTAGCTTGTTTGAATCCTCAGAACCTGGTTTATGACCCCTGGAAGATTACAATGATTTATACATTCAACAGTATTTTGGCTAAGACTCCTTCCTTTCCACCTACTCATTGCATGGTTCCCTCAAGTTTGTGCAAGAATATACATACAACATACTGTGTGTAACCCACCAGGAACCTATAAAGCACTCTCCATTGATGTGAATGGGAGTGGCACCAGAGCATATTTATCACTCTCCCATTCACTCCAATGGGCAGAAAGGGTTCCCGGTGGAACTTGGCCATTGTGTTCACAGCAAGGCTAATCTACACAAAACAGTATCTGGCAACACAGATGAACTATCCCTTTTTTCTCTGAAATACTATTTACAGAACCAACCAGTATTATAAATATAAAAAGGAAGATTAAAAATATTTCCCAATCAATAAATATATACAATTTTTTTTAAAAAACAAGTCAACCACTACTAGTAAAAGCAAACAAATTTCTCTCCCTCCCCCCATTAAAAAAGACAGCTCCCTCCTGTAGGTAAAGTTTTGGCTTTTTAATTACAAAGAAGCAAATGTCATTTCTGGAGATCACAAAATGGGTTTGCCAACTGCTTGCTTAATTAAAGCAGGGAATTTGTCAGTCAGGCTGTGCAGTAATCCCAAATACAAAATAAACCACCAGAGTCTAGGTTTTTTGAAAAAGGTAAGCTCCCCCCCACCCAATTTGATTTGTTATATTACCAAATATCTTTGGGTTGAAGGGAAGGCAGTACTGATCATTGTATAAAGGCTAATACCTTTCTCTCCTGACAAAATATTAAAAGTCACAGACCCTCCCACCACCAAAATAGGAGAAAGAAACTGCATCTATTCGAATGCAACCCTGCTACTGTATGGATATTTAAAACAAGTGGCTACTGAAAACTGTGAAACTATTCCTTATGAAATCCACTTTGACTTCTTCCAAGTATAGAAGAGATGGTGTGTAGTAATTCCTCTGCTATTCTACAGAGACAAAAGTTTAGTGGCAGTGATAAGTGAAAGAATGTAAATATTCTGAGCAAACGACATTGTGCTGATTATATTTGTTTCATGGGACCTTGGTTTGCACCAATACTGACTCAAAACGAACAATTTGTACATTTCGCACAGTTTGCATTGATTTTGCAAGTGCACGGTGGAGGATGGAGAAGACCATTTCTTGGTTCAGCTTCAGATTCTGCAAATACTTATGTGTAGCTTAAAGGTGATTAAGTATGGAATTGCTTCAGTTCAATGTGAAAATGTCAGTGAGAGTGGTGCCCTGACATCTGCTTTGGCTTTAGCAAATTCTTGTTTGTGAGGGACAACCTGCTGTCTGATCATGTAACAGAGCTTACTGAGGCAAAGTCTAGGCTCAGAATTCATTAGGTACTGAAGGGGCCAAGTAGCTCAAGCATTCCTGTTGCTGACCGTTATGCTGAACTATTGGGGCCTTGGCTGCAAGTCCTGCTGGATTCTTGGGAATCAAAGCTTTGCACTGCAGTCTCCAGCCTGCTTCCTTTGGAGTAGTTTCACTGAAGTCAGTAGAACATCTCCAACTAAGTGGTCATAGGTTTGAGACAATGGTAAAGTTACACACATTCCCCCTCCCCAATTATATTTAATGAGAGAAAGTAATGTCAGATGGAAACCCTTAGTTACGTTTAGACATTACTTCAAGGGGTGGGAGATGTGTTCTGCAAATGTCCACACCTTCAACTTACTGTCTGCACAGAGCCTGTACCATGTGTGCATAGAAGTCTCTGCATGATCCAGAACTGCACAGAATGCTTTATGCACACAGAGCCAAATGCATGTAAAGTTCTAGGAAGACATTAAGCTGGAGGTGTGGATGTTAAGAGCAAAGCATGCAATTCCCACTCCCTGCTGCCTCATGCTTTCAAATTAACAACGAATAAGGTGGGTTTAAATGAAAAGGGGGGTAGGACTGCCAGCTTTCAACCAGATATGCCTAGAACTGTGGCTTGATTTGTAGCAATCAGCAGAAGAGCTTCCTCAGCTGGTGTCTCCATCCTACCAATCTCTGCTCAAGACAGAGCTGAAAGGGACCGTTAATCAAAAATACTACTGGGGTTTTTTAGACAGCCACTTTTGTATATGAAAAGAGAGGAGACAGCAGGGAGGAGATAGCAGACAACTGCTCCTCTTGAAGTGCTGAGAAAGTTGAGCGTTTTACTGATAACAGCCTCCAGGTAATAAATAAAAGTTAGATGGGGGAAAGCTCCCTGTTCTGAACTGGACAGCGTTCGAGAAATAGGAATCCTGCTGCAGCTCCAGATGTACCTACCAAACCTATCTGTTAAATGTTATTGTAGTCTGTCAACTTAGCAAACAGCCAGCACTAGAAGTCAGAAAGAGAAAGAAGCCAAGCTGTTCTGTGTGGTCAGTTTCTGCCTTTGCTCTGCAAATAATTAAGAAGCCGCCTTCCGCACTCCACTTCCACAGCCCTGAATTATTCAAAGTGCTTTGGGTCCAGGAAAGAGGTGTCTTTTTTCCCCTTTCTTTGTTGAACGCAAAAGGCTGACACACGTTCTATGAGCAACACAGGTTATGAAACTCCTTCCTGCAGTTTTTCTACACGTCCCACCCCCACCCCTCTCCCTGGAAATCAAAATGGCTTCTCTGGTTTGCTGCCAACTTTCCCTTCAGGGGACGTTTTGCAGATCACACTGTTCGTGTTTTTACACCGACATCCAGGCCGACTCACTTGGTCATAGCATCGCTGTGACAGTTTCACACAACCAGTAGCAGGCAGGTAGCACAGCAGACATGGCAGAACCAGGGAGAGCGCGCTCATGAAAGACCACCGGGCGCAGCAGTTTGAGTGAGAGCAGGAGCAGGGGTGGTCCGCACAGGAACCTTCATCATCCTCATTGGTGCAGTGGTAGAAGATGCCCTTCACCAGACACATGCAGGTCGAGTAATTGACCAGGTTCTGAGCGGAACAGAGGCACTCTTGGTTGCAGACCCAGCAGGAGGGCAAAGTCCTTGGCAGGGCACATTCCTTGCACTTGCATTTCCCACAGGCTTCGCACAGTAAAAAGTGCTTGTCCAACTCCAGAGACGTGGGCCCCTTGAGGTCGAGGGGCTTGCAGTTAATCACTTTGGGCTGTATCCGGACAGCTCTTGGGGAGGACTGGTCGGCCACCGGTGCTGGCACCATGTGATCCAAAAGCCTTTGATCTGAAGATGTGCTGCTGCTGCTGCTGATGGAGCTGGGTCGCCCGCTGAAAGAAATCCATGGGTGAGTGATGTCTTGCTCACACCTCGGCGGGTGAGTGGTTTCGTGGTGGCCCCTGGGATATTTCTGAGCAGCCAGCTGGGCCAGAGTGGGGTTGTCAATGTAGTCATTCTCAATGTGTGTGGTCTTCATTTGGTCAATGGGCAGGATGGTCAGAGGATGCTGCAATCTGCCGTAGGGGATACGACTGTCCAGGAGTGGCTGTACCATGGTGGAATTGGGAGCCACAGTAATGCTGTGAGGCATTCGAGGCTCCATCGCTCCAGCTGTTCTTCAGCACTGGGGAACCCTGCTTTTAAGTGTCCTAAAAGAGAGATGGAGGGGAGGGAGAAAAGCAAAATAGTTCAAACATTAGCTGCTACTGTCACTGCGCCAATAAAGTCTTATTGTTTCAGCTGTTTAGAGGTGACAATGGAGTCAGTTGCAATACCAGAGAGTCAGCAAGAGCAGCAAACTCTAATCTGGAGAACCGGGTCTGATTCCCCACTCCTCCACATGAAGCCTGCTGGGTGACCTTGGGCCAGTCACAGTTCTCTCAGAACTCTCTCGGCCCCACCTACCTCACAAGGTGCCTGTTGTGAGGAGAGGAAGGGAAGGTGACTGTAAGCTGCTTTGAGACTCCTTAAGGTAGAGAAAAGTGGGGTATAAAAACCTACTCTTCTTCTACCACTATTTGTGTAACTCACATGAATTATGATGGTGGCATTCCCCAGAACACCTATGATCTTGGCATTCTCCAAAAGATCTATGATCTTGACATCTAGGTGGGCACAAGCCTCTGTCTAGTAAGTGGTTGGAAATAATTAACTAGAAGGAAACGTGGTAGAGCCACCACACACATGCTCTGGTGTCATGTAACATGGGGTGGGTAAGGATAGCTTATGGGGAGGGAGGTAGAGAACAGCCAATCCATCAGGTAAACAAGAATATGCATCATAAGATAACCAATCCAACACTAAAGTCTACAGACTATTCAAATAGAGATGCTATTCAAATAGAGATGTTCATGCCAAACACTTAACTTCTTGTGCACCTATGCATGCTGTATTAAATTCCCATTTTCTTCCTTTTCGTGGCAACGGAAAGGGGAGACGCCAAGTTCAAACCTTTGAGTGACTGGCCTACATTCAAACACTTTTAGTAAACAAGCCACCCAAGGCTGGCTCCTCCCCCCCCCCCCCCCCCCCCCGTTGATCCCCAGGACCTAAAATTTAGATTCTTAGGAGCAGCTGATAGAGCATAAAATTCTGGCAGGGAAGGTACTTCAGTAAATACACTTCCCCCCATTGATAAACGTTCCCCATTATGTTATGTAGCAACCCCACAGGGTCATTACAGGTCAGGAAAAGTTTAATCCTGACACAAACACACACACCCATGATCCCAATAAAAACTGGGCCCCTGCACATTAACTATTCAAAAGAAATAACGTTTTAAAAAATTGGAACATCTCTACCTTTAATTTCCAGCATCTTTCCTAGTTTGGCCTCAAGTCTATTGCTGAAGATGAATCTACAAAAATCACAGTAGGTGTCAGCTCTCTTCAGAGGGCACAGAGTAAATAAAAATCTGTTCTTCACATACATGAAAGGTTTTCACAATGTTTGATCTGTGGCCCAGCTCATGTGCTTATATGGGACACTGCTCTTTGGTAGAGAACAGCCTTTGCCTGTGCATCTACATGAAGTGTGTCTGTGGGGGTGCTCTACTCACAGGCCTATCAATACAATTCTGCACAGTGGTGCCAATCTAAAACCAGTGAAATCAATGGTCTTACACTACAATAACTCTGCACAGGATTGCACTGTATATGCACAATGGCCCAGTTTGCACAATGCTTTCCCTTGGGGAAAAAATGGGGGAAATTGTGAATATGAGATGCATAACTTAGGCATAACATCAGAGAAGAGGTAGCATACTCTCACTTCTCAACTGTAAAAAAGAGCAGCACTGAAGCAGGCCTTAAACAGGTTTCCCAGGAACAGAACAAGCTGCACAGTGTTTATTGTTTGCTAACAGATTAAGGCAGTGCACATTAGCATTAAGGGGGGGGAGGGAGAATGGTGCTTCAAGTGACTCTTCTGCAGGTGACTGACTGAAGCCTTAGATCCTTGTTTAGCAGTTATTGTATCCCCGCCTTAGTTTAGCACAGCAAAGAGCGAGCCTCTTCCTGTGCAATCTGAATCTTCAGACATTGTGCTCTAAATGGACAGCAGCAGGGATTTGGCTTTTGCTAACTGAGTATCTCAAACCTTGGGCTTAAAGAAGAGTTGGGCTTCTTCAGGAAGAAGACAGGGCAGTTTCTTTTTGTCTCCCACACAAAACCCCTTTCCTGGCTTTTCCAAGGTCCTCTTTTACCAGAGCTACTTGTGTAGCTTTTGGCAGAAAGCAAAGAGACATGATTGCATCCCAGCCCTGCTGAAAGCAACAAAGTACAGAAGAGGATGGGTGGGCAGTGGGGGATCTAAGCTTGAAGAGGCCTTGGCTTTTGCCCTGGAGTGATGTGGCTTTCCCTCCTCCTTTCAATTTCTGAGGGCTGGCACCTGATGGCTGGAAAGGTTTGCAAACTGGGAGCAGCTTGAAAATGCAGGACTACAAACCCCCTCCCCATTTGCAACCTCAAGGGCTCAAAATAGCCTGTGTCCCTGTGGGGAATGGGAAATTCAGGCCCACTGGCCTCTTTGCAGGAACTGACTCAGACGTCAGATGCTGTTAGATGCAGATTCTGTTTAATAAGTATTTCATTTCCTCTCTGCTACAATAATGAGCAACATAGTGGGCTTTTAAAAGAGGGATAAATTGTGTTTGGGAAAAAATCTTGAAGGTGGTATGTAAAAAAATCTTGTGGCCAGTGCTAATAGCGGAAACTATAAATTCATAGGAGGAAACACGATTTGTCTGCCTGACAGAAAGGGATTAGGGTTTGAATGGGTCATGACAAGTTAAGAGTTGTGAAGGGGGAAGAGAAAAGAGTCGGGGGGGGGGAGACACACAGAAACTTCAACACACAGTTGCCAACCTGCAGGTGGGGCCTGGAGACCTCCTGGAATTACAGCTGATCTCCAGACCACAGAGCCCAGTTCCCCTGGAGAAAGTGGCAGTTTTGGTGGGTGGACTCTGTGGCACATTGCACCCCACGGAGGCCCCTTCCCTCTCCAAACCACACCCTTCCCAGGCTCCATCCCAAAATCTATAGGGATTTCTCAACCCAGAGCTGGCAACCCTACAGCGCAACTCAGTTTGGTAGAGAGCACGAGTTGCCACCAATCCGCACTATGTAGATTTTCCTGTCACCTTGAACATGCACCTTGCTTTACCAGAAAGCAACTTGAAAACATATTAAGACATCCACTAAAACACATGCAAGAGAGTCAGAAAAATTATCTGTTGTAAAATGCACAAAATTGACCTGACCCCTGAAACCTCAACAGAAGCTGTTTCCTCGTATTTCTAGATATCTACTTAGTGGAATAACTGGTGTCTCTAATTGTCAGTCTTCACACAAATGCATGAGACCTCCTGGAATTACAGCTGATCTCCAGACCACAGAGCCCAGTTCCCCTGGAGAAAGTGGCAGTTTTGGTGGGTGGACTCTGTGGCACATTGCACCCCACGGAGGCCCCTTCCCTCTCCAAACCACACCCTTCCCAGGCTCCATCCCAAAATCTATAGGGATTTCTCAACCCAGAGCTGGCAACCCTACAGCGCAACTCAGTTTGGTAGAGAGCACGAGTTGCCACCAATCCGCACTATGTAGATTTTCCTGTCACCTTGAACATGCACCTTGCTTTACCAGAAAGCAACTTGAAAACATATTAAGACATCCACTAAAACACATGCAAGAGAGTCAGAAAAATTATCTGTTGTAAAATGCACAAAATTGACCTGACCCCTGAAACCTCAACAGAAGCTGTTTCCTCGTATTTCTAGATATCTACTTAGTGGAATAACTGGTGTCTCTAATTGTCAGTCTTCACACAAATGCATGAACAGAATCCCTGTTTCTTGAAGTACAAAGACCCCTTTATGCTCACACTGATCGTGTTCAGTAGCTTTTCCTTACATGTAGAATCTACACTGCCACATATAAATTTGCATCCAAAGAAATAGTCAGAATTAAGCACTTTCCCATAGCAGTTTTTTATTTTAGCTCTGTCCTGGGGAATCAGAAAGGCCTATTCACTTGGGACAGCGACATAGTAGACTCCCTCCCAACTTTATGTCGCTTCACATTGGTCAGTTATGCATCTAAAACTGGTTCCTGCCACTTATCAGTCCTCTGGCAATCAAAATAAGCAGAATTTCTTAAAAACATATTTCTAAGGTTTAAGTTCTAAAAGCACTGTTGCACTGGATGCACTGGAGTAACTTCAGAGAGTAGACAGAGAATGTGTGAGAACAGACTTTTAGTGACTGGGATGAGAAAATCAGAGCGGAGGGCACAGGCTCCTTTAAACATTCAGACTATTTTCATCCAAACACCAAGCAGCATAATATTTGGTTTAAATGCTGTTTACTAGCTGACCCATCTATTGCTAGTCTCTAATTTCATTGGAAGAGTGCAATTTATACTGGAGCCCATCCAGAGATTCAGCTGTAGTGTAGGACACGAAACCACAGGAAGCAACTAAACTTAAATCAAAGAACGGAAACAACTTGGTTCAAATTTAGAGAGTACACATTGTTTTCTGGTAGAGCTGCCACTTCCTCACCGTGACCTTTATATTATTTATTAATTATATATATATAATCATTTTAAAGAAGCAGCAGACCCAAGAACATTCCTGGTTAAGGTCAAGAAGAGAGGCTGCTGACATTCATGGAAGCGGAGACTTGATTAAAGGAGGAGAAATAACACTTTGTCTATGAATATCTAAACAAGTGGAAAGGCAAAATGAATATACTATAACTGATGTCCAGGGAAAAAAGAGGAAATAATTCAAAGGATGAAGTAGATGCAGCATTATACAGCTAAAGTTCAGTAGTTTGTACTGCCACCCTAAGCAGAATTGCACCCTCCTAAATCTATTGAAGTCCATGGGCTTAGAAGGGTCTGATTCTGTTTAGGATTGCACTGTTGAATTGCCTTTTCTTTAAAGAGAGAGCTCAACATACACACACCCTGAAAACAACGGGACTTAAAAATATGTTTCACTTTGGGTGAATTGTGCCTATGCAGATGTACTTTTGGATTTTTTTTTTTTTTTAGTCACATGGAACAAGCCTGGCTTCCTCCACTCTCCACAATGTCCCAGCAAATGGATGGCCAACTACTGCCTATCCATAAAGTTAATTGTTCATCTT